TCAGATGCTGCATCTCAAAGAATTTAAAGAATGCACAAAACATTTTAAGACAGATAGCTAATCTGTTCTGATGAAGAGCTACTTATATGAGTAAAGCTTCAGGGCAGCTACTAAATTGACCTTAAAGTAAGACAGCTTTGTCACATGGAGGAAAAACTCAATATGCAGAATTTTAAAATTTTGGCTAAAGATTGACACTAAATAGCGAAATATAAAAAAATAAATAAACCAAATTAAATTCTAAGGATGATTTTCTGTTGACTGACTAATCGTTGCATCTGTACTTTCAACCACGTCTGACTGTTCTGAGCCAACTGAACCGCTGATGAACCCGGAAATGTGGTCCACAGAAAGCCAGTAAGTGTAACTGGAGTGGATTTGCTTTGTCCGTTTAGAAAATGCTCATTGTACACTCATTGTAGATTTCAGTATTCAGCATTTTAGTAGTTTATCAAAGGTAGTTACACCAAAAGAAACCACTCTGATTCCTCTACAAAACTTTAAATATATGCTTTTAAGTTTAATTAAAATATCCAATATGTGCCCCTTTCTCAATCATTCTTGCCAGTAGAGGATGGCAGTAAAGAAGAAGTGCAGACATATGTGAGGCTGCATGCAGCAAAAAAAAAAAAGGAAAAAAAGCAGCAGCTGAGTACACAGTTTTGCTAGTCATGGTGCTAGAATAAACTTCCTGGTGTTCGCAGGGGACATCTGGCTGTTTTCATTCACGAGTGCTAATTTCACAGTGAAGCTACTGAATGGAAGATGAAGCCCAGCATATGTCTGTTAATCTGTCTGTATGCTAACAAAAATACAAAAAATGCTAAAAAAGAAAAACAGGCCGATGGAGCCAGGCTCAGGGAGGGCCATTAAACTTTCAGCAGCACTTCTCTTTTACCATCTGTGATACAAACAGGGACACAGTGAGAGCTGGAACGACGCTGAATGATGTCTAATGATCCGGCGGAGGAAGGAGGCCTGATAAAGACGGAATGAGAGGAAGACGGAGATAGAAAGACAACAGATGTGGCTTAATTGTCTGATAAGCAAACTCCACAGGCAGCGAGCGAGAAAGAAAAAAAAAAAAAAAAAAATGTGGGATAGCCTAACAGCTCCAAGATATCACAGTGCATGTGTTTGTGTGTGTTTACATACGCGGGTCTGTCCTCCAGAATCAATGCAGTGGTGGAGAGGGGCTCAAAGTCCAGGTTTTTCCTCACGCTCTGCCTGGGAGATGTCGGGTTGCCAGGTCCAGCTCTGCCACTCTTTGTTTCATATTCCTGGTGATGAAAAGGCAAGATTTTAAGACACGTGGACTAACAGTGTAACAGGGAACACCATCTTGCTTTTGAGGTCAGTGTGAATGGGCTATATTTAGTTTCACATTGCTGCTGGCAGTGACGTGTGCACAGCATCCAGACGTGCACACAGTGAAGAATGGACGGAGGAAATTTGGAAGATTAGTAGTTTTAAATTGCATGACAAAGTAGCGGCGGCCAGGGAAAATCGCTACAAGGGTCACAGCTGGCCTCAAAATCCATGTTGTGGCTAGACACAGACTGTTGGGATTGAATACAGGGGAGAGAAAAGAGAGTAAAAGAAAGGAAAAGGAAATAAAGAGTATGTATGAAGCCATACAGAAAACACCGGGAAACGTCTTGACAGCCTCGTGACGATGCTCTTATGCCCTCTGAGAATTTGTCAGCTGGTATCTAATGAATGTGTGGTTTCTGCGAGCGTGATTCAGGGCCGACAGAAAGGGGAAGCCATGTGACAGTCAGTCAGTTACAGCTAAGGTCGCCGAGCAGTTTAACACAAGGCCGACTGTCAGCTGACTTCTAAGCTGTGAGTGTGTGCATGAATTAGGGAGCACAAACAGTTCAGGGAGCACCTTTAGAAAACGGTCTTGCTAGTTAATTGGGAAGCTACTGTAAATGGGGCGAGTGCAATACGAGCGCATCCCACTGCGTGTCCAAAATGGCCTCCGGTGAGCGTTGAGCTGGTTAATAATGCAGGCTGCAGGTCTGCATGCAATCAGCTTAACGCTGTGCTGCCACAGACACGTTCGCATTGATCAGCGCGCAACAAAAACAGAAAAATCCATTCCTACAATAGCAGTGTGTGTGTGTGTGCTAGTGATACATCGTATTCATCTGTCTTTGTGTTGCTGTCTGATGTAACAGAGCCTGGTTTCCATTGGCCTTGCGGGGCAAATAAAGGTAATTGAATTATATTGAATTTGTGCTCGAGGATGAGTGCGGAATATAAAAGTGCCACCAGGCAACATTAGTGATGATTTACCTGTACTTACACTGCAACTAACAAAATTGGTCCCTTTACTGGATGAATAAAAATGTCACAAAACAAAAAGATTTTCATTTAGTAAGATGCTCTTAGATATTTAGTTCTTTTACCGACTAGTAGATTCAATTTCCTCCAAAGTTAACTTCATTTTTGACAAACTCTATGTCATCGTATACTGCAGCACAGTACGAAACTGTCAAGTTACAATGGAAACTCCTACGTGACACTGAAAATATTCCTAAAGCCCAGTTGTCAGAGTCACTAACAACAAAAGAGACATCCTGATCATTGCTTTTACTTTATATTAAAAAGCTGTAAACGTCAGATTAGTTCAGATAGACAGAAATCTAGCTTAACTTAAAAGTGATGTGTGCACTGTTCTAGCAGCGAAATAAAGCAAATGTGCCAACTCTGCTCCCTCTTTTAAGATTCTAGTGAGTGAATGACTGCAGTGCTGGATTAGGAGCCTTCACAAAGCCACTGCTGGATGGAAGCGACAGACAGAAGCAGATAATGCAGCTTTACCAAAAAAAAATAAAGGGAGAAAAGTAAAAAATACCACTCCCAAGTATTTACATATCATATCCTGCGAAGAATCAAGAAAGGTCAAGGCAGAAAAAGTAAAGATGTCTACATTTCAGAGCACTTAAACGCAGCAGGGAAGTGCAAGTAAGATGAAATAACAGAGTGATGAATTAGAGGGAAGAAGTGGATGAAAAACCTCGACTGAGAAATGTCAAAGACATCTCTTGAGGTTTGGGCGTCAGGGGAGAGCAGCTGACACAGAAGACGGGAAGAAACAAGGGCGATGAAGGAAGAGGAGAGGCTGGTGGTTGGAGCGCTGGAGGAATACTGTTCCCCCGCTGCTAGAGAACAGAGGTGACTCATGGGTAAGAATCCACTGAGGATGATCTGAGAGAAGAGCCACCCTGTCTTATTTGTGCGTATTGTCCCTTGATTCTCTTTTGGTGTCCATATCCTCCCTTTTATCTGCTTTGCATCTGTCTGTCTGTCTCCCACTCCCCTCTCGGCCTTTCTTTCTTTCTCTGTGTTGAATATTATCACCGGGCTGCAGGTTTGGCGTTATCGGCATCAAGCTGACAGTCAAATAAACGTATCACCAATGCACAGGTAGAAAAGGCCTTCATGGTTAAGTAGCATCAATGACATTAAAGCTGAATTGGTTCAGTAAAAATATACCACACACCTTTAACATCAAATGACTCTAATGTGAAATAAGTCGCTTGTAATGAGAAACCCACAAAGAATTATTACCACATCTGCAGAAGCCCTCAGTCTAGATAGTTTTAGCATCTTCCTGCAAATTGTTTCGGTTTTACAGCCTGCAGCATCACAGCCTTGCCACCTCCTTTTGCAGCTCCAACAGGCAGCTGTAAATAGCTGTCTGACAAATCTGTACAAGCTCTGATTATACCACTGCATACAACTTGTCCAGCACCAAACATGAGACAGATTGCAATTCGCTGGTGAAGAAAGTTGAACATATAGCAACCAGATAGCATCATGTATTTTTCTAAGGAGAAAATTAAGCCTAAAGAGAGTGAAAACTGGACTCTGATTTGCCAAGAGGTTGGAAATATGACTCCAAATCAATGTTGATGTAGCAACTGTTGTAATATGTCAATGTTATATTTACAGCTATCCTGACGTGTTCAAAACATATGTCCACCAATACTGTCACAGCATCTTTACTAGTCCAGGAAATTTCTCAGTATTTACTACAACTTCTAAAATGTATTTATTCTCAGAGCAGAGCATTGCTGACAGAGCTCATCACTTTGGTTTGGAGGTTGCATGTAATCAGAGTCCTGAACGTGAGCAGCGTTCGCTCCCAGCCTGTGTTAGCACGTGGAAACCCTAGTGTAGAGTTGGCATGAGGCTCACGTAGCTAGCTAAACCGGACAGCCATCGGACACCTTTCTCACAAAGTTCATCTACACAGCAGTTTGCAGTTAGACAGCAACCCTTATGGCCAGTCAGCAACTCCATCTCATTAAACAGTACAAGACCTTATCTGGTGCAAGCAGGTGCGACAGCAACTCTACAAAATATTTTCTGACATTCACATCACCTGTCTTCTGTCTTATCCTTTCATGTTATTTTTTTAGAACAGCTGATTTCTTACCAGAAAAAATCAATTAAAGATCAACCAACTGATCAACTCCAAACAATTACAATATCAATATGCTATAAGTCGTGATGGATAATTCTAGTTCATTCTAATTTTAGTAGTTTTGATCATCGTGTTGGTCAGTTATGATTACAGCTGTCACAACATCAGATTTTCAGCTGAAGATTATTGTGGCCAAAAAGGTTTCTGATGATTATATTTTTGCGATATCTATAAAAATGAGATTTTATTTGATTAATATTTTTATTTTTTTGTCTCTTTTATGGCAAATGAATTGGAGGGTAGGGAGGTGTACACACAGTCTGTAATCATAACTGTAATTTATGTTGTTCCTATGTTGGTGTGTAAACCAGATAGTATTATGTGTGTATTATTAAAACAATATCAACAATTTATTTATGACGAATCACAGTTATCACCAGTATATTGTGACATAGTTATGATCCTGACCAAGGTTTATTCAAATAACTCAAACCATTTGAAAAAGAACAATATTTTCTGTCCTGTAAAGGGTCGTCTTCAGTCAGTATTGAAAAACTGTGTGCTTTAATGAAGAGGTAACATGCATGAGCTGCTGTTCAGTACATTAAGGGCAGTGGGCACCCGAGGGAGCAGCTGCAGGTCAATAAAACAGGTAACGCAAAGCTTTGCACACTGGATGGATACTGCAGAGAGAGGGAGGAGGGGGGGTGCACGGAGGAAGAGCAACACTCAGGGAGATTTAGTAGAGGAGGAGGGCGACCTGGCATCTGTTCAGCAGCAATGCAGGTGCTACCGACAAGGTGAAACACAAGAAAGGGTGTGTGTGTGAAGCTGTGCCGAGAAGTGAGGAAGATGAATGAGGAAGTTAAAATGACAATAGCTAAGTCGGTGGTGTAGGAGAGCTACGAGTTCTTGAGGATGAGAAATATCGACTGTAAACTAGCCAAGTTATAAAAGTAATGACAAAAAAGAAAAAAGATTGATGTTGGCAGTGAGACAAACGAGCAAAATCCAGTAAATGGAAAACCACATTACGGTGCATTTGTGTGCTAACTGACAGATGGTTCTACTAGTTAATCAGCATCTAACCCTTCCTCCTGGAGCTGTTAACTATTAGCACTGGGGCAGACTTTTGTTTCATCCTCTGCTGCAGAAAATGCAAAGAGGCTCATGATACATAATGAAAGCTGGTTACAGCTGGTTGTGTCAAACATATATTTTAAAAGTACTGAATATAAATTTCATTCAGTGCCAGTTTTTGGTACTTAGTGCCACAGAGGCATTTAATTAGTACAACAGCTGTATCCATGCATCCAAATTGTGTTCGGAGCTCATTCCAGGAATCATACTGATGCACCGCTCCTTTCCTGCCTCTATTTGAGGCTCTGCAACAATGTTTTCTCACCTTTTTGGCTTCAAACCCCTGAAAACTAACTTGCAAAACAATAAAAACAAGAAGTCTCCCTTTGATGAGGTAGTAATTTCACCTAGCTCTGTATGCTAAAGTTCATGCTCACAGTTTGAGTTTTAATCTGCAAAGTTCTCCAGTAATCCTGCGCTGTTAGTGAGGCCCCTTGGCTACATGGCTCCAGACTACTAGACAGATTGAGACAGATGATGAAAGATCCCTCAACTCAGAGTTCAACTTTGAGAAACAAGCGTGCAGCTGATCAAAACCCACACCTTAATGTGAGTGTGACACCGCCTGCCTGATTATGGCGTCATGTTACAGGATACAGTTACATTTTCATTAATGGAAAGCTGCCAACACAAAGCAGAAAAGCTGAAAGAGCAGAAACAAAAAGCTCACAATGGCTACACTTGTTTATAGTATACACTTCT